AGAGAGAGAGAGAGAGAGAGAGAGAGAGAGAGAGAGAGAGAGAGAGAGAGAGAGAGAGAGAGAGGTTGACTACTGCGGGCCATCAGCACACACATCGATGTGCATATGTTTATTTCTGGCCCGCAGTAGCCAACTTCGGTCAGCATCAGAATGGGTGACCATGCGTGAGTTTCTTTGTTCGTGGCTTCCGGGTCTATCTTTGCGTCCGGAATAGGTCTGTCTCTCTATGTCCCTGTCGCGTCCGATTTATATGTGTTTACTTGCATGCGTTCTGGCGTTGATGTCTTGCTTAATTCCTGGTTCTGACGCTTGCGTTTTGAAAAAACGGTCCGCCATGTTGAGTTGTACGTACTACTGTTGGCGCCATTGTACGGAAGCAGTGAGGCTCTCTCTCTCTCTCTCTCTCTCTCTCTCTCTCTCTCTCTCTCTCTCTCTTTCTCTCTCTCTTGTTGTGTCCACGTATTTGTCTGTGTATGCACTGCTCTCCAGATGTCAACGTTCACCACGACCGGACAGAAAAGGAAGCTGGGCGGAGAGTGTCATGCAAGGATGGATGACTTCCTTCCCCCAGGCGGCAAGGGCCACAATACACCTGAAACGGATCGAAACAGGGGTCGGACTGTAGTTAGCGACCGAGAACATATAGGCAGGCTAACAGAGGAGGTGCATAAGCAGAAAGTACTGCTTAGAGAGATGTCAGACGAACTACGCCGCGTCAAGTCGCTTCTCGACGAAATGATGGAAACTGCGGAGCACAGGATGTTCACCGTGTTCTGGTTGTTGCTTGACAACCCGAAAGATATACTAGACGTTACTCGTCTGAGGGAGGACATGTCAGCCAGATTTCAGGCAATTGCTGAAACGAAGGACACCACGTTCGACGAGTTTCAGGCATGGCTGGATATTGAAAGGGAAAGGCGCACCGCCGTCTTGAAGCGGTTCTCCGCCCATGTCACGAAGACAACAAACAGGGAATCAGACGGAGGGGATGTCATGTGTCTTGCCAACTGCGGAAAGTGTGTGCTCAAGGAGGGATGGGCATCGTACAATTCCCAAGATTACAACACAGGTTCGCTACCTACGACGGCACGCAGCGTCGTTGACCTCTTAGCCTTCGCCGAGGACTGCATTCGCCACTGTACGGAAACTGTTGAAGAGTACGGTCTGAGTGAAGTGCGTGTTGGGTCTGTTAATGACGAGCTTCCTGCAAAAATCGCGACTCTGCTGAGCAGTTGCTCCGACGTAATGGATGCCCTGCAACACACTCGAGGCAGGATGTTGGCTGGGGAACTGACGGTGACATGTACGGAAGGAGATGTTATGGGATGTGGAGAAGGTGAAACGAAGAAGGGAAGAGAGGAACCTGACAGACAAATCGGAGTGTGTTCGGGGAATGGGGCCACTCTTGGGAAGGATGCG